CCGTACAGCAGAGAAAAGAACCAAGCTCAGAGAACCCCAAGGGTTCCAGGGTTTGTTTCTCCAGCAATCTGGGTTTTAAAGTTGAGGAAGAAGTACATTTGCATTTCTTCAGCTGAAATCATTGCTAATATTTATGATTGCCTCACATTTTACTACCAATAATTCCTTATCTCTAGGCTGTTTAGAACTCAAAAGCAGGTAAAACAAAGACACTTGAAACGAAATAGTTAAACCAGCTAAAAACAAGGCATATAGGTTCGCTGAAGTTCAGCTTTAAAACTACCAGTGGTGTTTCTGCTCCCTCAGTAGAGGGGTTTCCCAAAGCTCAGGGACAACCACAGAGAAGCCTGGCTTTGAATAGACATTAAATGGATTGGGAGAGCTGCAGCTGGAGCTCCCCAGATGACTTTGGTGGTATTCCCTTTGATGATTTGGGCCCTTGCCATTGAAGGCTTTACAGATTGCCAATAGCATATAATATTTTGTATGAAAACAAATCAGTAGCCTGCAGAAAACATACTCTCTTCAAGTTATCCCTGAGAACAACATAGCCATTGAAGTTCCCAGAATGTATCCAAAGGTAGGCTTTCATGGTGTCCACTGTCACTGATGAGCCTAGAAGTCTTCGGCGTGTATACCATAACCGATGGGGAAACTTAAATTGGCAGAAGGAAACCCTTTCTCTGGAATTCAGGCGTATGCAAAAATGGTTTCAGGACTACCTTTAGGTTGCTATTTTTCTCATTTTATTGACTTTTCTTTAAAGTTAGAAGAAAGAATTGGAGTGTCCAGTACATAAACGTCAGTAGAAGAGCATTTGTCATCTCTGACACGTTTATGTCACTTTCAAATTTAAATGATGATTAATTTCACAAAAATTACTATTTAATGGCTATTGCACATCTTTCAAGAAGAAATTGATAGATTCAGCTAATTATGGAAATGTGTTACTCAGAATGCCACATTGGCTCGTATGGTATGATCTTGTGCTACAGTGGTTTCCTTTCAGAGAGAAGTTCACCTATTAATTATGTTCCAGAGAACTCACTGGTTTTTGGAGAGGCTCATGTTCCTTTAAAATATGTACTAGTGACTTGGAAGCTAACATAGGACAATGGGAATGGATATTGTGCATTTTTATGATTGGAAAATAATTAATGCTACAGGGTTGGAAAGATGCCCATTTTCCATCAATTGCCCAATGGACTGAAGGATTTACTTCTCTTTCTATTTTGGAACAACCGTTTTATCATTGGGAATCCCAACTGGATGACTGGATGATTCATATGCCAATTAAACATTTCATTTCCAACTTATTTTCCATTGCAACTGAACTAGATGTTAGTAATTTAATTACATAACACAATATACATTTAAGAGTGCTTTTTATCTGCTTATGGGACATGCTTTTATAGATTTTTTTTTCTTTTCTCTCCTTTCTGGGCATATTAAAATAAATAAAATACTCTCTGGGATGTTCATTTGTGTGACTGCATGGGATTTGTTCTATTCTGGAGAGTTCTAAAAAGTCAGTTGTGTCAATTTAGGAGGTTTTAGATACATCAGTGTTACTAGCAAATGTTTTTTAAACTCAGTTTAGGCTAACATAGCTACCCTAGTAGGGAACAGCCCTATACCATGGGCTGGTAAAACATTTATTTCAATATATTACATGTAGAGCTGCCCTTGAAATTGTGCAGCTGTTCCAAAATAAGAAGGGTCAGTGTGGAGAATGGCCAATGTGATTACTTTATGCCAGTGTTGTCCAAACTTGGCCACTTTAAGATGAGTGGACTTCAACTCCCAGA